CTATTCTAGTGCGAAGGTAATACTGATCCGATTGTACGTTATCGAGGAATTCGGTTACACCGAGCGGTAAAAATCGTTCTCCAGGCGCAAGCCATACTAAAGGTGCCCAATCTCGTACTAATCTTCTTACTAACAATAAGATTGGCAAATGAAAAAAATATTTGATTATCGCAAGTAGAATGTGTGCAAAAAATGAGAATGATAGATAAGATATATACCCATACAGCACAGAAGATTGAAGCAATATTGTTGCAATGTTGCAATATTACAAATTGCAATGTAATATTGCAGAGGTATTACAGAAATTTAAATTAACAATATGCCTGCAAAATATCAGTAATATGCTTGTAATATTCCACAAATATTGCAAAACAGTAATTTTTTAATTGTTAATAATAATAATATAAAAATATAAGTTTTTACAATATTTATGTACAGTCTTTTAGTTTAATAGCCATTTTTATAATAATTAATATAATTCATTTTATATTTAAAAAATTTATTGATCTATTTTATTATTTGACGGCTATTTCATTAGCTAAGTTTTTACATTTATTTTAAATATGAAATCAAAAGAGTGTATAATATCGAGTTTGAATACAATCAATGCATCGAATAAGACGATAAGTAATTAAACTACTGAAAATGATTTATCAAAATATTATGTGATCGATGATGTATTTATGCCTGATGTGAACGCAAAAATAAATCAATGCCTGAACTTTATTGATAAATTTTATACCGTTATTTTTTAATTGATTTCAATTGACTCGGAGTGGTTTCGAATTAAAAAGAATCGTTGCGATTAACTTACCAAGCAACTGTATTATTATATTAAGGTGGATAATATTTGTAGTTTGTTGGGCACATACATACATCTCTATCTTTACGAATAAATTTTATCCTTCAGTATTATTACTATATTTATTGAAATATTTTATAGTTTTATCATAAAAAATTGCTTTTGGAAAACACATATCAGAAACTGCGATTTGTAGAAAAATTAAGATTAGTGAGATATATGTATATAAATAGTTTTCATTTTAGAGTCTTCATAAAAAATTTATCCAAATACATTACATTGCAATATTGCTGGAACGTTTTATTGCAATATAACAAAAAGCGGACATGTTAACATTGTTGGAATTTTGTAACAATGATTCAGTAACGTTTCGCAGCTACCATGCAATATTGCAATGTTCAGTGAAATCATTCTGCAATGTTTCTGCAATCTTTCTGTGCTGTATGTATATATATATATATATATCGCGTGTTACATACATGGCACATACGCACGGGATCGAGCGCATCTCTGATTCTCGGTTCAAGTGCATGCCAGTTCTCCTTGTATATCGGGCGAGAAACGGGCACGTAGGTCAACGCGAGATTCTCGTAACCCCATTACGGGAGTCTAAGGTGAAACAAGTTCCGCGCGGGTGTTTCTTGTGCTTCACGATCAGTACTTCATATCGTACGCGCGTGTTTTTCGCCAAGTCTAAGTTAAAAAGACATTCGATTGATTGTCCAATCGTGCCGATTTTGATTGTTAACGCGGTGAATTACAAATAAAATAACAAATAGGACATGATGATAATATTTAGATATACGAGCAAAAGTTGCGTGCAACGTAAAACGCATAACGGTGTAATTTTGCTAATAGTCTCCTAATAGATTCCTGTTATACACGTTGGAGTGACTCTCGGTAACTCTCGATATAAGACAACCAAGATACATATCAAATTATTAGCGAGCGTTATAATTGAACGCGATGAATGACAGGCGAGTTTATATAGATACGTTATTTTCTCAATCGATTCAGCGCGGCGCGATGTCCCGAAATATATCATCAAGTCGTTATACCTTTTAAAGAAGTCGAAGTATGGACAAAATCGAAAATTAACGCGTAACTTGTTTCAATCCGCTTACACTCGCTTTACTTCTTTTGATCGTGAGGAACCGGTCCAGAAATGGGACAACCGATTTAACCCTGCGTATATTTGCACACATGGAATAAATACGAGTACATTGTATAAAAAGGAAATATCCTTTTGTGCGTCTATTTTTGTGCCTCGCGATCTTTTTCAAAGTTTTAACCATAAATTGCATTTCGCTACTATTATGGTTTTGATTAAATAACAATCGAATGAAAATTTTTGTTTTTATTATTATAGTTTCGAATTGTGTTATTCCGCCGTGCAATTCTGATTGATTTATATAATACTCGATAGTATTGTTAAAGAATTTGTTAGGTTCTCTAAAAAAGGATAAGAGGAATGATATCGAAGAAAATCGTGATAAACTTTTACTTTTATTTTTAATTTTATTTTGCAATCCGTCACTCGTATAAATTCGACAAACAGCATATTTTTCTTCTTTCCTCTTACAACTTATAATTATAAGCGCAATTTTACATAACAATTTATCAACTAGAGTGATATCGTGAATAACATTCGATTCACGATCGATCGAATAGATCAATAATCGTATCTTACGTAATATTTATTAAATCACAAAATTTGTTTTTCGTTTAAATATAATAAAGATTTGAATTTGAAATAAACCGCATGAGAGGATGTAAAATCTCCCGAAGCACGCGTTTCGTATCTCCGCGCATTAAAAGAAAAAGAAAAGGACGGATTAAATGTTCGTTCAACTACACTCGCAGTTTATATCGATGTACAAATTAGATACATACCTCGATTCTCATTGGTCGCGGATAGTCGCGATCCTGCGACCGTGTGAGTTATGACAAGTATAACAAACAATAATCCTGTCATGTTCGTTCCATCGATACATTTTGAAAGAAGGAGGAAATGCGATTGATAATCATCGATTCGCGTTTTTTTTTCTCACTATTTTTCGCATTTTTGAATTCGTGATTACCGGCTATGCGAGAGAAACAGTGTATATACGCGAGAGATGGAGATTCTCTTTGGTATCGACCGAACGGAAACGCTTCCCGGATTACTGACCAAAGCGCGACTACCTCGCTTTCCATGCCGTTCACTAGACAAACGTTACAGAATACACGCATCGTACATACGTACCGTCTCGCCTTGCGGGATACGTAGCCAAGCGCGAGTAGTTTGTTACGAAAAAGTTTCAACTTATTAACAAACGAAAAGGAAAGCGGATCGATTATACATGTATATCGCATCTCTCGCTATATATTAATTATCCATACAATCATCAGATATATTAGTACAATAATTGTATCTGTATAATTGTAATGTATATATACATATATGTATATATATGTGTGTGTGTGTGTGTGTGTGTGTGTGTGTGTGTGTGTGTGTGTGTGTGTGTGTGTGTGTATATGTATATA